TTTTTTTTTTTTTTTTTTTTTTTTTAAGGGCTGTTTCTCTGGTTTCACTAGGAAGGCAAAAATCATTGCTAATATAAAATAAGTGATTTATTTTTCCCACTGAAACTCAAAATAAGCATAAGTAGTAGTGCTGGGGATGTAAGTAAATATTTTTGTCCAGTGCCAGAAACAGTCCAGTGTCAAATATGCATTTGATTTATTATTTTACCAGGCAAGATCCCCTAAATGACTAGAACCTCATTTCCCCTTTCACTCAGAAGAGAGGTATTTTATTTTAAATACATGTTAACCTCTAAAAAAAAATAAAGGTTTATAACTCTTTGACTAGCTATAACACAGACTACATCAGGTGAACTGAAACATCGAAACTGAAAAGATGTCATTTCATATTTTTGGATAAATTTTTGTCAAAATTTTAGTCTCTTCATTTTTTAGTTTAAAAAAAGCTCCAGAGGGGGGAAATTTACAAGCTGATTGCTCTATGAACAGCTACGTCTAACTTGGGTGAACAAGTAGCTTAAGATGCAGTAGGGTATTTATAGGTCTAGGTTCAGAATGCCCCTTCCTTTCAGAAAGAATGTACTATGTGGGAGGCTGTGTCTGCAGTAATAAATTAACTGAGTTCCTGTCTAGTCTGTATGGATAGTAGATTGGGATTGCTCCAGTGTCCTACATGACGCACTCCTCAACCAGTTGTGTAGTTGTCCTATATGCTACATAGTTGCCACACTTCAAGCCAGGCATGGCTATATTTTAGTTGCAAAGTATGTTGGTAATCTGTAGACTTTGGAACGGAAGGCACCATAACAATGGGTAACATTTTCTCTGAACAGGAGTAGCAAGTAGTAATAAATAATCTATTTTGTTGTATGCATAGAAGTGATTACTTGATTCCTAATAAGAGATGTTACTTATCTGGCACTAGCTTTGTAAAGTATTTTGTTTTTACAAAGGTGACTCCAAAAATCCCTGTGAAATAGATGCTAAACTGTAATTTTTGACAATCTTTTAATGTTCATGTAACGATTCAGCTGTTTAATGTTGAATATAAAATTTCATTGTTTTTATAACAGATTATCTGGTGACAATTTTATGTGAAGTGAATAAGACTTTTTCTTCTTTCTGCAGAGAATTGTAAGTGCACAGAGCTTAGCTGAAGATGATGTTGAATGAGATCATGACACACCAGAGAAAAACTAGTGATTTCGTACCCCAGAAGATGAGCATCAGTGGGGGGATAAAGAGGGCAAACATCGTAGTTAATGGACTATGTACTACATTGAATCTACCAGAGTTAATCTTTAACTTTGGATAGGTGGGTCTGGCTGGATTGTATTTATTTATCCCAGTGAAAAGTGTATTTTGATTAAAAAAAAAAAAAAAAAAAAAATCATTTTATAAATACACTGTGTTGAGTTATCAAAGTGTCACTAACTTCATTACTATTAAAATATGCAGATGTAATGTTGTACATAGAAAGGTATACAACTACTACATATTAAATATCCAATGCTCATTTTTGAAAAACAAAGTGAAGGCAATAAAGATTTATCTGCATCTGTATGTTCATATGGTGGTCCTTTAGATCTTGAAGCAGCTTACGCTGACACTTTAAGGCTATCTTAAAGAATTTTCCTTATCATGTAAACTTGTTCTTAATAGTATGTCGGGTCTTCAAAATAGTTAACCATGCTTTTAAACAGCAGGTGGAAAATCTTTGTGGCCTATTGACAGAATAGACACGCAGTCGATAAAACAAAAGCCAGTCATGTACAACAATAAAAGGAAGATGCGAAAAAGGAGGGTGATGGGAGATCAAGAGTGAAGGCTTAGAGACAAAGAAAATGAAGAATCTTGTTATTGCCAAGAAACAATAAAAACTGAATAGTTACAAATAAAAATCAGAGCTGCCTGACTTAAATTCAGTTTATTGCAGCTGTAAGAATGGAAGGGTTTTTAAAAGCTGGAACCCACTGTGCAGGGAACGAGAATAACTAACAATTTAGGCCCATTGTTATGGCTTGGAAGACTTAGAGTCGTCATTAACAACTGGAAACATGACAAATATTTTTTTTAATCCATGCAAGTAACCAAGAAAACAAATTAAGATAATGATGTCCACAGGCTAATTAGCTAAAAATAACAAAACGAAAAATGCATAAAAATAGTTCATGAATTCTCAGTTCAAGGAAAATACCATAAAAGTGGGTTAAAATAAATCATTGTGCTTTTCTTCATTTACAAATAGGAAACATACATGAAGTATAATGGCACAAAAATATGCCATTGTGTGCAGTATAAAAGCCCTTCGCAAGGCTGAAGTTTTCCATGGATAGGATGAGTGTAACATCTTGGAAATAATCCATTTTTCTAAAGTAGCCTATTTTTCGTTTTGTTGCCACAACCATACAAGTTGCCAGAGGAAGCAATTGAAGATGGAAACTTAGATTTTGGTTAGCTTGGTGACGTGTGTTAATGTCAGGAGTAACAGGAAAGAATGCTGCTGGCAGTATTTCTCTTTAACCTAACCCCCCTGCCCCAGCTGGTTTGGATGATAGTAAGCTTGAATGATAGTAAGGCAATGCAGGGCCCCTACAAGACTCAAATGATAACCTTGTGGCTACGCCAGACAAGAAAGCTGATATTTTTAACAGTTTCTTTGCCTCTGTTTTCTTGAGGTAGGGACAGACTTGGGGATAGCTCTGACAGGCCTTGGCACAGAGGTAGGGATCTTCTGGAAGGGCTGGACATTTTTAAATCTGCAGGTCCAGATGCCTTCCACCCCAGGTTGTTGAGGGACCTGGCAGGGGTCATCGCGGAGCCCTTGGCCCAGCTGTATGAGCATTCATGGTCATCTGGCCAGATTGACTATGAATGCTGGGGGATTGGAAACTAGCTAATGTGGTCCCCATTTTTAAGAAAGGGAGGAAGGAGGACCCAAGTAACTATAGGCCTGTAAGCCTTACCTCGGTCCTCTGGAAGATCTTGGAGAAGATCATCAAG